GTGAAGGACAGAACATCCAGAAAGAAGATCAACAAAGACACGGAAGAGCTAAATGCTACAATCAACCAACTTGATCTCATAGACATATACCAAACACTCCACCCAACAGCAGCCAAGTAGACTTTCTTTTCTAACGCACAGGGAACATTTTCCAGAATAGACCACATAATAGACCATAAAGCAAGCCTTAACAAAATCCAAAGCATTGAAATATTACAAAGCATCTTTTCTGATCATAAAGCCATAAAAGTAAAAATCAATAACAGAAAAAGCTAGGGAAAACAATAAAACACATGGAAACTGAAAAAACACCTTGCTCAAAAACTACTGGGTTATAGAAGAAATTAAGGATGGAATGAAGAAATTCATAGAATCAAACGAGAATGAAAATACATCTACCAGACCCTTTGGGACACAGCAAAAGCAGCGCTCACAGGTCAGTTTATAGCAACAAATGCACACATCCAAAAAGAAGAAAGGGCCATAATCAAAACATTAACCCTACAACTTGAACAAGTACAAAGAGAGCAGCAAAAGAAGCCCTCCGGGGCCAGAAGAAAAGAAATAATAAGAATTAGAGCAGAATCAAATGAAATACAGAATAGAAAAACAACTGAAAGAATTAACAAGACCAAAAGCTGCTTCTCTGAAAGATCAACAAAACTGATAAACCATTGGCCAAACTGACAAAAGAAAAACAAGAGAGGAAGCAAATAAACCATATAAGAAATAAGATGGGTGATATCACAACAGACACAACTGAAATTAAAAGAATCATAACAGAATACTGTGAAAAATTATACTCTGACAAATTTGAAAACCTAGAGGAAATGGACAAATTTCTAGAAACTCACTACCTACCTAACTAACATAAACAGAGGTAGAACAACTAAATAAACCCACAACAAAAGAAGAGATTGAAAAGGTAATTTAAAAACTCCCAACAACAACAACAACAAAAAGCCCTGGCCAGGATGGCTTCACTGGAGAACTCTACCAAACGTTCAGAGAAGAGTTAAAACCACTACTACTAAAGGTATTTCAGAGCATAGAACAGGATAGAATACTCCCAAACTCATTCTATAAAGCCAGCATAACCCTGATAGCAAAACCAGGTAAAGACACCTCAAAAAAAGAAAATTACAGACCAATATCCCTCATGAACATTGATGCAAAAATCTTCAACAAAATTGTAGCCAATAGAATTCAGCAGCATATCAAAAAAATAAATCACCATGATCAAGTGGGATTTATACCAGGTATGCAGGGATGGTTCAACATTAGAAAAACAATCAATGTAAACCATCACAAGAAGAAAACAAAAGACAAGAACCGCATGATGTTATCAATCGATGCAGAAAAGGCATTTGACAAAGTCCAACCGGCATTCATGACAAAAACTCTCAATAAAATAGGAGTGGAAGGGAAATTCCTCAATATAATTAAGGGCATTTATATAAAGCTAACAGCCAACATCATCCTGGAGATGCTTTGGAAGCATTTCCCTTGAGAACGGGAACCAAACAAGGATGCCCTTTAACACCGCTCTTAATCAACATTGTGCTGGAGGTCCTAGCCAGAGCACTTAGGCTAGAAAAAGAAATAAAGACATCCAAAATGGTAAAGAAGAAGTCAAGGTATCTCTATTTGCAGATGATATGATCTTACGGACAGAAAACCCCAAAGAATCCACAAAACTACTGGAACTAATAGAAGATTCCAGCAAAGTATCACGATACAAGATAAACATACAAAAATCAGTTGGATTCCTCTACACTAACAGAGAGAACCTCCAAGAGGAAATCACCAAATCAATATCATTTACAATAGATCTCAAGAAGATAACATACTTAGGAATAAATCTAACCAGAGATGTAAACGATCTTTACAGAGAAAACTACAAGACACTACTGCAAGAAACCAAAAGAGGCTTGTGTAAGTGGAAAAACATACCTTGCTCATGGATAGGAAGACTCAATGCTGTGAAAATGTCAATTCTACCTAAAGCGATCTACAGATACAATGCAATCCTGATCCAAATTCCAAGAGCATTTTTTAATGAGATGGAGAAACAAATCACCAGATTTATATGGAAAGGGAAGAGGCCCCAGATAAGTAAAGCATTACTCAAGAAGAAGAACAAAGTGGGAGACCTCACACTACCTGATTTTAGAACCTATTATACCGCCACGGTAGTCAAAACAGCCTGGTACTGGTACAACAACAGATACATAGACCAATGGAACAGAATTAAGAATCCAGACATAAATTCATCCACCCATGAGCAACTGATATTTGAAAAAGGCCCAAAGTCCGTTAATTGGGGAAAAGACAGTCTCTTTAACAAATGGTGGTAGCGTAAATGCTTATCCACCTGTAAAAAAACTGAAACAACACCCATACCTCACACCATGCACAAAAGTGAACTCAAAATGGATCAAAGATTTAAATATAAAATCAAAAACGATAAAGATCATGGAAGAAAAAATAGGGACAAAGCTAGGAGCCTTAATATATGGCATAAACAGAATACGAACCATAAGTAACAATGCACAAGCACCAGAAGAGAGACTAGATAACTGGGAGTTCCTAAAAATCAAACACCTAAGCTCATCAAAAGACTTCACCAAAAGAGTCAAAAGACAACCTACAGACTGGGAAAAAATTTTGTCTACGACAAATCCGATCAGCGTCTAATCTCTAAAATCTTCAAGATACTGCAAAACCTCAACAACAAAAAGACAAATAACCCATTTAAAAAGTGGGCAAAGGATATGAACAGGCACTTTGCCAAAGAAGATATTCAGGCGGCTAACAGACACATGAAGAAATGCTCATAATCATTAGCCATTAAAGAAATGCAGATCAAAACTACAAAGAGATATCATCCCACCCGAACAAAGCTAGCATTAATCCAAAAAAAAAAAAAAAAACAAGATAATAAATGCTTGAGAGGTTGTGGAGAGACTGGAACACTTATACAATGTTGGTGGGAATGTAAAATGGTACAACCACTTTGGAAATCGATTTGGCACTTCCTTAAAAAGCTAGAAATAGAAATACTATATGATACAGCTATCCCGCTCCTTGGAATATATCCTAGAGAAATAAGAGCCATCATACGAATAGATATATGC